AATCGGCGACTTCAAAATAACCCTTACAAAAAAAAAAAAAAAAAAAAAAAAAAAAAAAATTTGTGTTCAGCGGACCTCAAAATCACTTTAAAAATTACCGAGTTTTTCAATTTAACGGATTTGAATCAAAACGAGTATTTATTACATAGAAAGTGTGGCAGTTTTTCAGGGGAGACCAAATTCATTTCAAAGTAACCGATTTTTCAAACAAAGAGAGTTCAATGTAAGGGAGTTCGAGTGTACCTACTTTTAACACATGTACAGCAAATCGAATTCAGAAATTAACAACTCGCTCATTTCATGATAAAGAATTTAACCCAATTACCCTCACCGAAGTACAAATTATGAATCGTATCAAAAACAACTTTTATAGTTATGGTTGATACATATACATTAACCCAATTACCCTCACCGAAGTACAAATTATGAATCGTATCAAATACAACTTTTATAGTTATGGTTGATACCTATACATTAAACAACGAATTTAAAATCCAAAAATGTAAGATAAACATAATTTTTTTATCCATTGCCGACTTGCCGTTGGGAGAGGGATGGTGTAGATCTGGGCTAAAGACATTGTTATAATTAATTATCTCTACTAATCAAACAAGAATAACGTCACGGTAGCTCAGTCAATAGAGCGCTCGCTCTGTGATCGGAAGGTCTTGGGTTCACACTCCGGCCGCGACTGACCTAAGTCGATAAAAAATAGGTAGCAACTGTTCCTTCGCTAAGAGCTCGGCACTTTGAAGTGAAAGTTGCGGATCTTTCAGATGAGACCTTAAAAACCATGACCCCGTGTCACGGCAGGCGATGGCACAATAAAGATCCCTTAGTGCTCAGTGGCCCTGAGTACCGAGTAAAGGTCAAAATTTGAAGCCCTTCACCGGTATATGGTGACGTCTCTATATGAGTGAAAAATTTTCGAATGGGAAGTAAAACAACATACAATCTATCTATCTATCTATCTATCTATCTATCTATCTATCTATCTATGTGTTTCTATCTACAAGCAATATCCAAGATGACCAACATTGCTGTTATTTTTTTTTAAGTTTGACAAATAAATTCTGTACTTTAGGCGGAAACTGAGTCACCGATTTTTAAGATACAGCATCATTGATAACTAAGCTGTCATCATGACAAAAACTACCAAAGACTTTGAAATGTCATCTCTTTACCTTTTGTTGTATGTCAATGAATTTGTAAATAAACCATGTACACAGATAACCATAAAATGTTGGGATGGATTATAATTGTTCGGTTCATGGTGAATTCACCCAAACCATGTCACCAATATTTTAACAATGTTCGTAGCAAATCTGCCAGTTTCACATTTAGATAATTTATTGTATAACTCTTTTGTTGTCTGATCATGCCTACTTTGCATTGCAGTAAAATAATTCACCTCCCTTAAAATGACTTTCAATTTGTGCGTGTGTACGTTTAAATCCAAAACTGACGCTCTTTCTACAAGTGTAAACTGCATGCTTTTTTCTTACTTCTAAACTTTTATTAATCGACTTTTAGATCAGCCATATTATCCTTAAATACTTAATCATTTCAGCCTCCTTTTCATAGAATAACTATTATCAATGATCAAAGACGTACCAGCAATTCTAAAATCTTATTTAAAAATATGTATATGATAATTCATAATTAGTTTACCTGGCTTGCTACACGACTTAATTCTACGGCAGCGTCTACTCCCGAGTTTCCAATTCCAATAAGAAGGATTCTTTTGTCTTCATATCCCTTGGTGTGTTTGTAATCATGACTGTGAATTACCTTGCCTTCAAAATCTTTTAAACCTGACAAAGAGTCTTCCAAATTTAGAGGAAACTTCATTTCGATGTCAAGAAACAAATACTGAGTTACGTATAATTAGATAATTCGTTCATGTCCGTAAACGATAATTAAAGTTAGGGAATTCTGATATATATATATATATATATATATATATATATATATATATATATATATATATATAATATATATATATATATATATATATATATATATATATATATATATATATATATAACTCTGATTTAAGGACTAGGGAGACCAGACCATTATATATGGCTTAAGGAGACAATATACAGATTTTTTAAATTTGCTTTTTTCTAAAAAGAAATACCAGATCAATGTTCTATAGAACACCATTTAGTCGACTCTTGCTTTATTTTTTCATTATAAATGCCTCCTAAAAATATATGAAAAAAATGGTCTCCCTAATATTTTATGTTTCTCTCATATGACTTAAGGAGACCAGTGTATATTTTTATACATATAACTTGTGGTTTAAGTAGACCATTTTTCTTTCATAGTAATTTCACTGATTATGGATTAATTAACATATTGTTTCCAACCAGAATAGTTGCGGATGGTCATTGGTCAAGCTCAGCAGAAAGATATTTGTGTTAATGTGACTCAACATGATCAGTACAAAATCTTGAATATAAAACTAAAGTCATTGCACAAGTGACTTATATAGAGAGTAGTTGCCCCCCTGGCGCAGTGGTTAGAGCGTCTGCTCTAGAGTAGAGAAGTAAGGAGTTGATCCTTACATCGCAGGTTCAAATCCCACAGTTGGCTGGGGAGACCGATCCTTCGGATGAGACCGCATAAATCGAGGTCCCGTGTCACAGTAGGTGCTGGCACGAAAAAATCCCTTCACTGCTCAATGGCTGTAAGTGCTGAGTATAGGACAAAATTTGCAGCTTTCCACTGGCATGTGGTGGCGTCTCCATATGAGTGAAAAAATCCCGAGAGGGACGCTAAACAACATACAATCAATCAATCAATCAATATATAGAGAGTATAAGCCCAGAGTAGCTTGTTCTGATATCCACAATTAACTCTCAATGCTGTCGCCCACATGTTGCAGTGGTAAGAGCCTATGCTCTAGAGTTGCCGTGTTGGAGTTGATCCTTATGTCACATGTTTGAATCCCACTGTGGGATGTGGAGACCGGTCCTTCGTACAAACCAAGGTCCAGTGTCACAGTAGATACTGGCATGAAAAAGATCCTTCACTGCTCATTGGCCCTGTGTGCCGAGCATAGGTCATTTGCAGCTCTCCACTGGCAAGTGATGGCGTCTCCATATGAGTGAAAAATTCTCGAGAGGGACGTTAAACAACAAACAAACTCTCAATGTCCAATACAGTTTAACCTGAAAGTGAATGCAGACATAGACATGCAGACATAGATTAGACTTATTCTTTAGACCAAGTATAGTATACTCCATATTGTTTTGTTGAGGACACAAAGTTCACAGTGGAAATCAAGTAGTTTTTCCTGCTATTTATACCCAGCTTCTTTTAAACCATATAGTCATTGAGTGCATTCACTTTCCAACTAATTGATGAAGTTCTGAATCATACCTATATTTGTTTAAATTCTTTGTGATTTAAGAATATGTTTGACCAGTTGAAACCAAGAGTACATGTACTACATAAAATTTCAAGGTTGTGATTAAGATCCAGTATAGCAATATGTAGATGCCATGTTCAATATACATATTTGCTATCATTAAACTTACAGAGACCATGAATCAAAATAATTCAAATGCTTCAAAATCATTTTATTTTTACTGCTAGTCAAAATACAGTCACTCAAGCATATCCTTTGTTAATTTGAAAAAAAATGATAGTTTAACATTTATTATTAATACCATACCAAAGCACAAGATAGTGCACTTCTTACATAATCCAATGATTCATGTTGTGATTTGACATATTTAGATGTTTCTCATTTACAGTTCAATATACATGATATACAAGTACAGTGTGACACTAACCTAGTATCAGTTGAATGGATCATTACTATTCTGTTTTTAAGAAGTTTGCAGGGTAAAAAGTATAAGAAAATAAAAATGTTGATACATTTATTGATTGCATATGCTAAAAACTTTGATAAAATATCAAACTTTGTATCATAACAGCTTTTACAAATTAATTCAATACATTCAAAGGTACAAAAATCAAATTATTTTCATCCACAGTTTTATCATATTCAGTTGAACAACAGCTACATCTATTATATAAAATGTATGGTAGTTGGCACTGATGGTATAATCAAAGAATACAAAGCTCACTTCTGTAAATGTTATCCACTAGTAAGGCAAAATCTCACTCAACAAACACTCTGGTAATGTATATCACCTGAATCCAAAATCTATGCAAGTTTTTCTGGGTTAGATTTAACTGCTCAATAACCCTGAAAAGGTATGTTACATCCAGCATCAGAAGCAGGATGCATCATCTATGTTTACTGATCACCAAAGAGTATATTGTTACTTTGAATGAACCTTCTCTAAAAAACTGGTCATTAATCCAGGAAATCTAAGTCAAATCAAGGATTGGTACCCTGAAACATTAACATACATCATCTTTGCAGGTTTGTTCAACATACAGTTTATAATTACATGAGAATAGGACTGCTCAAAACACTTACTCTTGTGGAGTCCCCCATGTGGCGCAAAGGCTAGAGTGTGTAATCTAGAGTCGCAAGTAAGGATTTAATCCTTAAGTCTCAGGTTCAGATCCACTGGGGATGTGGGGACCAGTCCTTCAGATTCGACCGTATAAACCGAGGTCCCACCTCGCAGTTGATGTGGGCACAAAAAAGATCCCTTATTGCTCATAACCCTGAGTGCTAAGTATAGGTCAAATTTTGCAGCTCTCCACCAGTAAGTAGTGGCATCTCCATATGGATGAAAAATTCTTGAGAGGGATGTTAAACAACAAACAAACAAAGAAAAAAAAACATGAAGAAAATGTTGATCAGGTCAAGCATCTGAAGTAAATCTGTTAATGTGCTTTAATCCATGCAAGTTTGTCCAGTTAGAGCTTAGGAATAAACCTTGCTCCTTAAATTTTAACTGGGATGACAATGCTAGGTATATAGCAAGAACTCATCTAGACTGTCCAGAAAAGCTTAAGAATATTTAGCAATATCTTACTTGCATGATTTAAAAAAATCTGCAATCTAACATTATTCTGAAACAATTTCAACAAAGTTTCTAATTTTCAACAAATTCAATGCACTATGAGATGAATTACATTTCTAAACCACATACACTCTACTTAAAGTGCAATATACATGCATTATACTGTATGTTAAATCTTTACAGTTCTCTTCAAGTACTCTAATAGTATATAAAATATGAAGATTACCAAAAGTGATCAAGCTTTAAAGTCCATTGAAACAATACAAAATTGGAGCAGAGCAAACACAGACCTCTAAAAACACCAAGTGCAATGGAGGAGAAAGCATTTTCTGCCATGTGCTCCTTGACATGATTGGGCAAATGGAAAAATCCACAAACAATTCAGTGTAAACAATTTTGATGAAAAACATTAGTCAACATTCAACTTAATGATAGATTAAATTTGCTATAACAATTAATTTACATGTAAGTGTACACACATGTATGCATACCCAATTTTACTAAATGAATTATTTCACAATATCCAAAATTGGACAATAATATATAGTTTCTAATCTAGCCAGACAACAGGAAATTTTCATTATTACTTAAATTACATGAAACTATTGATGTCTGTGAGCTACAAATTATATCTAAAAATTATATACATTTTAACAAGTGTTTACAGTTTAGTGTATTTATTATACACAAATGATGACTTAATTAGTAAGACATACCAGTAAAGTCCACAGATTGACTTCCAGATTTCAGCTCAAAGGCTTGAAGATTTTTAGTGGCTTTTTCTCTCATAATTTTTTTTTCACTGAATATTTTCATTTTTTTTTCAAGACACTGTTTTTGTTGAGGTCTTTTAGCAGTTTGATGCAATCCAAGAACTCTGAGGGCAATTTAAGAACTCCTGAATTTCTTTCTTACCTGGCAAAAATAAAAATTTAAAAGTTTGAAATATATTCAACTTACATGAAGAAAACTAGTAAAACTAGCGATAATGTAATAGACCTTTCAGATGTTCCAAAGCAGCTACATGTACCTTATTAAAAAATATAAAGTTTGAAGTATTTAGAGTCACCTGTATTCTGAACAAGGGATATGTGTATTTGACAGACAGATGAATGAATAGACTGATCACTATAGAGCACCTTAGTCTTTTTTCAATAATCATTATATTAGTGAAAATCAAATAGGAACTAGAGTGCTTCAAGGAATGTATATGTCGCCTGCTAGGTATCTTCATTAAAGAGGTAAATAAATCTAAGAGTGGTCAGCTATTAATTTAATATTAGCATGGAGGTTCATGCATTTGCCTGCAAGGAAAAAAAAGGATCCAAAAGTAAAAGACTGGGATAGAATCTGGCAATCAAAAAATATAGTTCCCCAGTCCTCAAATGAATAATTAAATTGAAATTATGATGAATAACTATTTATCATTTTATTAATACACATGTAGGTGCTTCCAACAATCCTCGGAGGAAAGAGATTTCAGACTGTCTTTACTTTGTCACTTTGTCAGTCAACACGATTCATTGTAGAATACTGATCCCAATGTATTTTCATAGTATTTAAATAAGTTTGTGGTAACTGAATTTCATACAGTTTCAAAGTATAGTATCATGAGCTCAAAAACATATATAAATGCTAATTATCAAAACCCTGCCTCTAAAAATTTTGGAGATATAAGGTGTGACAGACGGACAGACAGACACCAGGTAAAGTGATCTCTAAGTGTCGTTCTGCTCTGCAGTTGACACAAAAATGAAACTTAGTCAATTTTTGAGCATGCATATCACTTCAGTGATGAAAGGAATGCTGAAGTGGTAAGTCTATCCTAATTATTTGAAAATACGGCAACCCCATTGGTCAGAATATAATACATATGCTGTCCAGCCTTAATTTCATTGGCATAAAGCAGCACAAAACAAGATTTGATTGGATGGTGCAACTTGTTTTTCTAGGGGGCGCTGTTGCAACCCTGGAAAAGAAAATAGGACTGGGGCTTGCCCTTTGGGGGCACTTACTGACTGAAAGTAAACAAACAACAGAAATAGCAAATTACACTAGAAATATGTCCATAGGCCATGAATGCCCCGCCGAGTGTATAGTAATGCAACATGAAATTTTGTGTTAGTATATGAAGTTTGATGAGAATATCTTGAAAAGTTTCTTTAAAATTGAAATAAAAATTTTAAAAAAAATGAATAGATGATAAGTTCTCACCAAATTATGTATAGATGCATAGCCTTAGATAACAATATCTTAAATGTTTTAAAACCATGCAAGATGCAAATTAAAGGAAAGTGAGGTCAAGGTCACAGGAAAGGTAAAAAATTTTTGAAATAGTTGAATAGGTCTTACTAATCTTACAGCATATTAAGTTTGATAAAAAATATCTTGAATGATTTCTTTAAAACTGAGCTAGTCACAAGCGTGGCGCCATGGTTAAAGCGTCTGCTCTAGAGTCACGAAGTAAGGAATTGATCCTTACATCACAGGTTTGAATCCCACTGTGGGATGTGGACACCAGTCCTTCCGATGAGACCTTATAAACTGAGGTCCCATGTCGCAGTAGGTGCTGGCATGAAAAAGGACCCTCACTGCTCAATGACTGTGAGTGCAGAGTATAGGACAGAATTTGCAGCTTTCCACTGGCAAGTGGTGGCGTCTCCATATGAGTGTAAAATTCCCAATAGGGGCTGCAGATTACCTGTTATGATTGACCAAAATCCCTACTAGGCTTTAAACTCTTCATTCTTGACCTGTATATCGTCAAATGAGATTTGTCCAGTTAATTAAGGTAAAAATTACTAATTGATAAAACTGTAAATGATTTTTTTTTTACCTGAGTCAGATTTTTACTTTTCTTAAAGGTGTCTGGATTTGACTGTTGGTTCCACCTATCTCAAGGAAATGATCTGTAACAGTAAATGTTAGAAATCATAATCTGTTCTCTATCTCCTATAATCACGAGAAAAGGTGTTAAAAATTAACAGATGGAGATAAAATCAGCAGTCATATTAAAGGCTTTTTTCAATCATCAATTTATTAGTGAAAATCATAAAAGTATTAGGCAAAAAGGAAAAATAAATGTTGTCATTAATTAACCTTGCATATCTCTACAATTTTCTGATAAGAAAATTTATACCCGATAGATGCAATATAATCACCCTTTGCCTGCCCCTAAATTAAATTATGAAATTTTGATAGATTTTGATTTAAGCAATTATTTAAAACAAGGTTTTTTTAGGGGCACGTACCCCTGCTTTAGATTTATATAAAAAAAAAAACTACAAAAAACGTGAAAACCTATTTCTATCTTACTGGTTTATATTTATTACAAATGTCCTCATAGTCAGCATAGCCCAGAATGGTAGACCGCAGACTCTCACCATGAACATTTTTAGTGTCCTGGTTCGAATCCATTTGTTGGCACATTTTTATTTTTTCAAACTTTTTACCTGTATAAACACTAAAGAACGAGTGCACTTATGGGCCCCGGTATAATGTGAAAAAATGAAGAATCAAATTAAGCTTAATTTTCCATCTCAGATCATTAATTGATATCTAAACCCTAAATTCAACAAATTTTATTGCTGAAATTCATGAATATACAAAGAGCAAAGCCATAAAATGTGGTAGGGGTCAGCCAACATTCGTGATTTTCTATAGTAAATCGAGGACAGTCATTCATTTCAAAGCTTTTGTTTATTGTCAGCCTAACGTTGTACAAACTTGTGTGATTGACAAAAAACGCATTATACATTTATAAAACTTGTGTGAAAGTAGGAAATTTGTACAAGATTAGGCTTGTACTTAAAATATTAAAAAAATGTATGAAAAGTTCAATGTTTTTCCTATAGCAAGTAAGAGCTTAGATTTACCTGTATGATCTAGCTATGTTGAACCCACCCATGGAATAAATTATTTAAAATACCGGTAGTCACGTGAGTTCTACCCAGGTAAACATTCCTCAAAGATGCTCACTGTAAAGCATAGCCACGTTTTGTATCATTATATCAAAGTCATGCCGCATAGAGAAGTTTGTATGTACATGTATTTGGTTTTAGGAAAACGGGAGGGTTAGGAACACAGAAGGGTTAAGAGAGTTTAGTGTCGTTAAAATGTCATCATAAATAAAAGTGTCAAACATTTTTAACATTCAAGCAAGACAATGGTACCAGTATTGAAAGCCACCCAAATACACCTTTTTTCATTTTAAAATATAAAGGAACTAATGTTAATACTTATTGCATTATTTCAAATGCAAGCGTACCAGTTTCATAGTTTGATCACTATGGATACAGGCATCTATACAACTTCATTCAATTTTTTTCCTCGGGTAAAATAGCGCAAGAAGTATCATTCGGCAAATGTGCCTGTCAATGATCCACCATCAGATTGTTCAAGTGTCTGATTTAAGATTTAAATGCCTCCTCCCCTTGATTTAAATAAACGATTGAAACTCAAAATGGGTTTGATATGACTTTTCCGGATCTATAGGCATTTAAAAAACTTCATTTGTTTCAAATCCATGCTGATTGATGTTTTAGCGTGATTTTAATTAGAAATGTCCACTTGTGTTTAACTATTACTAAAAGAGAACAATTTGGTAATATATTCTAAAGTAATACAGCACTGAAAAAGGGTCCATTAAGCATTCCTTAAGTGCACTTGTCCTTGCACTTTGATTTTTTTTATACAGGCTTTTGCATTTTACTTATATTTTCTTCCTTAAATGCATGTTTGGTGTTGATATAAAAGGCATCTACAGAAATGCAGATCATAAATTCTCTTTAACTAAATGCAATCACCGGAACTATACCTCACTGTAAGCACACTTTGTTCGAGGACACTAATCATTCACTTTGTGTTACTCGATACTGCAGGTGTCAGGAAAAAGAATCTTGCTGAGCAATAACTGCTGTGTTTTCCTTTCAAGAACATAATGACATGTAATAGTACTGTTGTGCCAGTGGGAGAGATACTGTTCTATGCAGAGTAGATGCAGTTCATTCCTTGGGAAAAATGTGTGCATTGGCGATATGTTATGCTAAAAATGCATGAGGGTTTTCAGATTAGAAAAGAATGTGGTAAGGTCAGTTAAGGTTTTATGTCCCATTGCCATTACTCAGTCAGACATCAAGAATGACCCTCATACAAAGGATGTATAATTCTGTAAATACTGAGGTAGGATCAAATGAACACACAGTTGACTAGAATGAAATATATCGAGATAACAAACAGTATTCAAGCTCAAAAGCCCATCCAAAAATACAAAATAGGAGCAGAGCAAACACGGACCTCCAAAACATCAGGGTAGGATCAGGAGGTAGGATCAGGTGCCATGGAGGAGTAAGCATCCCCTGCAGACCGGTCACACACGCCATGTGCTCCTTGTCACAACTGGGAAACAATGGAAAAATCCATCGATAATTCAGTGTGTAAATAATGGCCTAACAATAAGTATGAAAAACGTCACTCAGCATTTGACTTAATGATAAATTGTATTTGCTGACAAGGTCATTGTATCGACCATAGAATTTACAAAATGATAACTTTAAACAAGACTGCTGATATTCTAGTTTCAGCAACTTGTTTGTCAATAACTTACCTCGTTTTAAAAAAATTTCAAACATAGAGGATGCTCTTTCGTATCAAATCAACTGAGAGATATAAACCCTGTATGCAGGTGATGAAGGTATATTGCTAAATAAGTAAGGGAAGTTGACAATTGAAAAGTTAAAGCCATCTCATTTGTCATAAAGCTTGGTTGTTAGATTACCATTAACGTAGAACTAAAGCAATACATGAGAAACAAGAAACTACACACATGTGGCCTAAAGTCAGTGATCGGAACATACATCGATAAGCTTTTTCTAAAGACTGAAACCAATATTGGTCCTAAGGTCAACTCAAATTTTTAACTAGAAGTGTTCCTTTGATATACTATATTTTACTTATTTTCTATAGACTTACTATACCCTGAAAAAAAAAATGGAAAACAGGAACTAGCTGTTTAAATGACCTCGACCACCGAGGTTAATCTAAAGTTTGTCCCTGCCTACCTGAAAAACAGACTACCTCGGGCAGTCAGTAATTTCCAACTCTGGTTATGAGATGCTAAATGTTCAATATTTACAATCAAATGCTTATATTTACATTTTTAAATTCAGGATAGATTGAGAAAGTCAATACAGACCCTGAAACGTGCTACATGTACTACCCCAAAAAAGCGTGTGGCTTTCGTGCGCTTTTCGTTTCGTGCAAACCGTGTAGCGTTTCGTGTAAACCGTGCAGCGTTTCGTGCAAACTGTGTAGCGTTTCGTGTAAACCGTGCAGCGTTTCGTGTAAGCTCCAAAGCGTTTCGTGCAAACCGTGTAGCGTGCGTGCGAGAAGCGTGTGAGAAACGTGCGACTTTCGTGTAAGAACCGTGTGAGAACCGTGCGACTTTCGTGCAAGAATCGTGTGAGAAACGTGTAGGATTCATTCGGAAGTCATTTTATTTTAAGTATGGCTATGGATGGATTAACATGTCATTCTGTGTTGTTTGTTACTAATATTATTCGGATATATCATACCAGTGGTATTTTAAGCGATAAAAAAATACGGAAACAACAAAATAAAATTTCTCGGTAATGTATTACATATTTGTTTGATTTTCTTTCTTTCTTTTGTTTAAATCAACTTGGGCAGAAAATGTATTCAAAGTAATTAATTATATGCGTATCAATTTCTAGGGAATTTGATTCAATACATTTTATTAAAGGGAGCAATACTGAATAGTTTTTGAAAAAGAAAATTCTTCAGGAATCCGGTCATGTCCTTTTCATTCATTTATTTGAATCTCTTCACCATTTTACAACTATGGTATATAGAGATTACAAGAACATATGGGTGATAAATACACAATAATAGATCGATACGGCAGGCATGAAAAATAAAACACAAAATTTAGTGCGTTGTTATAAATGTGAAGTATGGGAATTCTAGGCCCGGGAGGACAATTATTTTTTTTCTTTATAAGCGAACATATTTTTCTTATATTACAAGATTGTAATACAAATAATTTTGAAATCATTTATAGTCTTTTTATGCATAAAATTGGTTGATTAATAATTGTCTGACAAAGGAATCATAATTCACATGCATCGGCAAATACAGGGTTAAATATTTCCGGGGGGGGGGGGGGGGGGGGGGTTAAAATGAAAACACAAACTTTGAGTTTTTGTTGTTAACAAATTTTAATAGATAATTTTCTTTTTAATGAAAATTATTGCTTTTTTCGGTGTGCGCCCGATGCACCCCTTAAAAATATATTGGAATCTTCTTTACACATCCGACACTCTTCTTACGACTGTGATCAAGGTCATTTACAACAGGGATCACGGGGTCTGCGTGCCGTGAACTGAAAACTTGTTCTGCTACATGTATAATCTCTTGTAAATCATGGCTAAGATGACACCCGACAATAATGAATGATTTTTAATTCGTGAAACTAAATAGTTTTATTCGTATTTAATGGGTACAAATAAATACACGTGCCCGTGGATTTTATTTCTTAAATTTATCCGATTGTCTGTAAACAATGAATTAATTTGCCAGTGTATTCGTGAATTAAAGATATAAAGAAATAAATCCTGAATAATTATATATTAGTTGTTTTTTAAATCACGCAGTTCTAGAGCATAATTTTTAGTTTTTTTGGACATTGGACATGTGTACATGTATATTGAATGTACTGTTAAGAGCCGCTACTATTGGTTACATTTTTTTTTTATCTAGACGGGGTTTGAAATCAAGGACTTTACAAGGTGTCGGGTATATTGTTTTTATTTGATAAACACAATGCCTTAAAAGAGGACTAAAGAATTATAAAACCTATCCCCCGGCTTCTCTACCATATCAAATTTTAATG